GCCCTACCCTACATTTGCTTTCGTCGGTCCCCGGGGCCGGGGGTACGACCTCTCCTCTGGGCTCGTAGACAGACCTGGGCTGGAAGAACGGACTGCGCGGGTGCCCACGGGCGGGTTTGCTTTTTCTTTCCGCGTCCTTTGCGAACTGTTTTCAGCCCCCCAAAGCAAAGCTGCTGACCTTGGGGGGCACGTGGAGAGGGCAAGTGTCTTTCCGGAGGTAACCCGGCCAGTGAGTGAGAGGATTCTAGTGATCGGCTAGACCGACCCGGCATGGGGTAGAGAGAACGCGGGTGAGGAGAAGGGTGCGTTGCAGTTAGTCTCAGGTGCCAGCCCCAGCCCTGCCGGTTACTGGCTATGACCGGTTAGAATACATCGCTGGGATCTTCAGTTTCTCCAAAATAGGCTGCACCAGCCCAAGAATTGAAACGGGCAGGTTGCCTATTGCTTTCAGGGTGCAAGGACGGGTGTTTTCCCACCAAAGGTTATGACTGCCCGTGACTTATCTAATGGGGGAAGGGAGATGAGACAGCACGTTCGTTCCTAAATCACAAGCCCTGTGCAAGATGCGGCTCAGAGGCCCATCTGAAGAGGAACCGTGGGAGTCGGGGGCTTTCCCAGGCCTTAGGCTGTCCAGAGTCATCGCTGTTGCAGTGGCCCTGAACATGTGCTTTTCACACATGTTCACAAGGAGACACAGCGCTTAGGGTTCATAAGCAAATAGATGCAAATAGCTTTGGCTTGCCAAACTGTAAAATGCAGATGATTAGATTCCCTTTTCTCCAGCCTGCGGTCCTAGCAGGTGCTTTAAGAACCGAGTGAGCTTCAGCAGTACCCGTGGCCAGGACTGCAGCGACTTCCTCTAGGGAGTTAGGATGAGTGGGAAGGGGAAAAGTTCGTGGGGTAAGAGTCATCCGCTTCAGAGTTTTTTGGAATCTAGTCCCAGCCCCCAGTATAGCTTTGTGCACAGCAGTTACCATCTGACAATTGGTTGGGTGGTTTCATCTTGGAAATCCCCTTGGACTTACACTGTAGTTTGGTTACTGTGTTCCCAGCCTGGGGATGACTGACTTGATGACCTGGTAGGTTTTCCTCTGTGCTACCAGTCTTTCCTGAAGTCTCACGTTCATCCCTCTTGTTATAGTTACAGTCAGACAGAAGTTGAGAACGTTCAAATATTTCAGTGAATCCTGGGCTGGTGGGAGTGACAACAATGTAGAGAAATCCCTCATTCCACCAGGTGGTCGGGCAATGGGAGTGTTGTGAAGAGCTCTCAAACTGTAGTGTTTATGAGGTCAGGGAAGGCATGAGCTGGGGCCCAGTGGGTGAACAATGGTTCATAGGCAAATGGAGGCAGAAGAAATTCCAGGCAAGAACCCAGCTCACCCAGAGTTAAAGACAGGAGCTCCAAAACCAGTTTGCTGAAGTTAAGTTTTGTAATAACCGTATCTTAGCAAGTGTAGCTGGAGAAAGGGTAGGAGGAATTGGCAATAGGGCAACAAACAGATTAAGAGGCCTTCCGTGTCTAGTCAAAATGTCCGGGTTTAAAACTAGGGGTTAAAGACACTGCTTAGGGTTCATAAGCAAATAGATGCAAATAGATTTGGTTTGCCAAACTGTAAAATGCAGATGATCAGGTCCCCTTCTAATTGTGCAGTCCAGGAATAGAACCCAAGGCCTTGGCCTTTTAGGTAAGATGTGGTTGGCCATATATGCTCACTCTGCTTCTCTCAGACTTTGCTTAGGGTTGGGTGGAGTCTAGAAGTTGGAAGGTAGTAATGAACAGTAGTTCTCAAACTTAAAGTTCATGTGAACTCCCAGGGATTTTTTTTCATTCAAATGCAGGGTTTTTTGTTTTGGGGTTTTTGTTTTTTTGTTTTTTGGGTTTTTTTTTTTTTTTTTTTTGACACAGGATTTCTCTGTAGCTTTGGTGCCTATCCTGGAACTTGCTTTGTAGACCAGGCTGGCCTCGAACTCACATAGATCCCCCTGTCTCTGCCTCCTGAGTGCTGGAATTAATGGCATGCCCCACCACCACTCAGCTCAAATGAAGATTTAAAAAATTTATTTATATATTGTATGAGTGCTCTGTTTACATGTATGAGGATGTATCTGTGGAGTCCACAAGAGCCCAGAATAAAGGGAAGTCAGGTATTTATTGGGGAATCACTCCCAAATGACAATGCAAAGTAGAGAACCATCAAGGATGCTCCCATCTGCCTTCCAACCATAACCCAAGAGACCCAGCCCACAGGTAGCTTCTGGGCCCCACCCTAAAGGGGCCAGTACCTCAAAGACTGAAAGAATTCCCGAAACTCATATATGTTTGCATGACAGATGAGGGCATCAGATCCCATTACAGATGGTTGTGAGCCACCATATGGATGCTGGGAATTGAACTCAAGACCTCTAAAAGAGCAGCCAGTGCACTCAACCACTGATCTCTTCAGCCCCTAAAATGCAGATTTTTATACTTTTATTTGGTGTTTTGCCTGAATGTATGTCTTGTGAAGCTGTTGGGTCTCAGAGTTACAAACAGTTGTGAGCTGCCATATGGATGCTGGGAATTGAACCTGGGTCCTCTAGAAGAGCAGTCAGTGCTCCTAACCACTGGGCCATCGCTCCAGTCCCAGGATTTTTCATTTTTTATTTTCAGAGCTGAGGACTGAACCCAGGTCCTTGAACTTGCTAGGCAAGCGCTCTACCACTGAGCTAAATCCCCAACACCAAGATTTTTAATTTTTTAAAAATTATTGCCAGGGGTTGGTGGCACACGCCTTTAATCCCAGCACTCGGGAGGCAGAGGCAGGCGGATCTCAGTGAGTTCGAGGCCATCCTGGTCTACAGAGCGAGTGCCAGGATAAGCTCCAAAGCTACACAGAGAAACCGTCTCGAAAAAAATTATTATTATTGCCAGGCGGTGGTGGCACAGCCCTTTAGTCCCAGCACTCAGGAGGCAGAGACAGGTGGATCTCTGAGTTCAAGGCCACCCTGGTCTACAGAGTTCCAGGACAGCCTCCAAAGCTACAGAGAAACCCTGTCTCGAAAAAAAAATTTTTTTTTCCAGCATCCATATGGCAGAGTTTCTCTAGCTCAGGCTGGCCGCAAACTCACAGTAATCCCCTTGCCCCAGTTTCCTAAGTGCTAGAATGATAGGCCTATACCACCATGGCCAGCCTAAGCTCTAGCATGTTCAATAAACCCCAAGGTGATGTGTGGCTGAACACAAGGGGCACACTTGAATAGTGCTGGGGACTGGAGTGAGGCTGGGGCAGGTGTGGAGGAGTCCAGGTGAAAGTTGAGTGTTCAGCTGACTGTGGCAGCAAGGGAAGGAGACAGGGCTGGCTGGAAAGAAGGTCAGGCGGAAAGGGTAACCTGGAACTACAGGCAAGGCAGAGGCCATGGCTCCAAGGTACACTCAACAAACAGGAGTGGAGCAGGGTGACAGAGCCGTGGTCACGCCCACTCAGGGTGCCTCTGGTACAGGAGGCGACAGCTCTCAGCATATACTCAGCTGTTTCAGTCTAACTCTGTGGAAGACCTTAGCTAGAAAGACCCCAGGTTGGGTGGCCAAGCAGGCTGTCACCAGAAGCAGAAGAGTTCATGCCATGGAAGACAGAGGTGGTGGTGGTCACAGGCCATCAGGAAGAAGGGGGAAGGATTCTAGGAAGAGCAGGACCTGGTGACCTCAGGCTGGAAAATTCCAGGCCCTGATACTAGAGGCTGACAGACTGAGAGGTAGGACAGTGAGAATCTATATAAGTTAGGCTGGGTGGTGCACGCTTGTAACCACAGCACTGGGGAGGCTGATGCAGGAGGATCGCCATGACTTTGAGTTCAAGGCCAACCTGGGCTAGAGTGAGACCCTGCCTCAGAAATGGGGGGGGGGATTAGTGGGTACCCCTTACTAAGTGGATGGGAAATTGGAAAGCGAAGATCTTGAAGTCAGGGATAGACACCCATAGATAGAAGTGGGTCTAGGAACTGTGCCAGGTCCACAGGCTTAGAATAACCCAGCGACTTGAACAGCCAGAGATAGAAAATTCAAGACCCACTGAGCAACCTAGTAGCTCAGAAGCCACAAGGGGTGGTACACACTTGGGATCCCAGCACTTTGCAAGTTCCAGACAGCCAGTGCTACATGGTAAAACTCTGTTTCACATAGTAATTCAAGTGGCAGAGGAGCTGCTATGATCAGGAAGCTTGTGTACCCAGGTTGATCTTGTCCAGTGCACTCCAGGTGTGCTGACCCCTCTGATTTCCCCAAATGTGGGAAACTTGACTACATAATTTGTGGAATTGGGGGACAGCTGTGTTCCCACTCTCCCGTATTTAAAAGAAAAGTGGACTGGAGCTCATTGTCAAACATATGCAGTAGTGCATGCACCCAAGTTCCTGGGTTCAATACCTAGTCCTGTGAGGTGAGGGCAGGTCCTAGGGTAGAGAGGATTGCCACACAGGCAAGCACACCTCGGAGAATGATACAGGTAGAGCCAGTGCAGAGGACGCCAGTGATGATCTAAAGAGATGCTCTGAGCTCAGCTATGGCCTGAAGGTGACCGGGGGCCACCGTCTCAGACTGAGAGCAGCACAGGTTGAGGGGGTACAAATGTCTCTTGTGAGCTTCTGATTGTTGTTCTGTGACACTTTGTTGACTGATGGTCTCTCGGATCCCAAGGCAGTGATGTTGGGCCTAAGCGCTTGACTCCATGAGTGAATGAGCATCTGAGGGAAGGAAAGAGATCTTCTTGTGGGACGGGAGGGGGTGGAGAGGGAATTCATGGCATGAAATTAAATTAATTCCATTCTTTTCCAGGGGTGGATTTCAAGACAGGGTTTCCCTGGTTAGCCCTGGCTGACCTGGAATGTACTCTGTAAACCAGGCTGGCCTGGAACTCACAGAGATGGGCCTTCCTCTGCTTCCCAAGTGCTAGGGTTAAAGGAGTGTGGCACTATCCCAGACTACGGCAGTGGAATTAAAAGGAGATAATTAGCCAGGAAGTGGTGATGCAAACTTTAAATCCCAGCACTTGGGAGGCAGAGGCAGGTGGATCTCTGTAAATTCAAGGCCAGCCTGCTCTACAGTGCTAGTTCCAGGACTACCCAGGGAAACCCTGTCTCAAAAAATGAAAAAAAGAAAAGGAGATAATTTATTGACAGTTGGTGATCCTAGAGTGGGGGGTCACTCCCAGGTTTCCACCTTAACTGGAAATGCAAGGAAGGAGTGGTGGAGGGACAGAATTGGCAGAGTTGATAGTTCCAGTTGGCACTTGCTGACTTTGAGACCTCGTGCGCTATTCCAGAAGAGGGTCATACATGTGTGTTTCCTTGAAATTGTTGAAAGGTTCTGAGGCACCTCTAACATTCTACCTCCTCTCACATACCCTTAAATAGCATCTTCATGGGTGTCTTTGGACAGTTTGGGAGTAGTGGTGCCTGAAGTCCTGGAGGGGATTCAGTCATGTAGGGAAACTGGGCAGTGTAGAGAGAAGGCCCAAAGGGTCATGGCTTTTAAGAAGGGCAGAGGGAGGGGAATTCAAGGTATATCCAGAGAAGGAGGAAGGACCCCAGAGGAAATGGATTCTGGAAATCCAGGACTGAGAAGTGGTCCCACAGCACAGTTGAAAGTTTCAAGTGTGAAATAATAACAGTGCATAAGGGAAGACAGACAAGACTTCACAGGGCACTGTGTGACCTAGAGGGAGACAGGGAGATGGAGCTCAGAGGAAGTGTGGTGGCAATTTGGGGGGGCTTGGGTAGAGTTCAGCTTCTCAAAAGAAGGGAGGAAGCCAAATAGGGGAATGAAAGACTTTCTGGGCTTAGTAGCATGGTGTGTGTGTGTGTGTGTGTGTGTGTGTGTGTGTGTGTAGAGGCCAAAAGTCAACCTCAGGAGCTATCGACCAGACAAGGTCTCCTTTACACACACACATACACACTTATTTTTGTATGTAGATAGATACAAGAACTGCACAGGGCAAGTTTACTGGGGGCAAAGAACAACGAAAAGGAGTCAGAGTTCTACTATGTGGGTTCTAGAGATCAAACTCAGGTAGTCAGGCTTGCACAGCCAGCCTGACACAGGGCCTGGCACTCAGCAGCTAGGCTAGGCCGTCCAGCCAGTCTCAGTCTTCTCAGCACTGGGGGTGCAAGTGCCTGCCGCCAGGCCCAGCTTTGTTGTTGTTTAAAAAAAATTTTTTTTTTAACTATGGGCAGTCTGTGCATGTACATTTGAATGCCTAAGGAGTTGTGAGCCACTGCCCAGTCTAGCAGGCTTGGGATGAGTGAGGATTGAAGAAAGAAACAGACAAGAAACAGGAGATAGAGTTGGGGAGGGGGGCATCCAGTGAATATTGTGCTCCGCCCCAAGTTTATTACTCAAAGTTCTTATAGACCCCAACCAAAGGGGGGAAAGGCAAAAGATTTCTTTACCACGATACAAAGAACAAACATAATTACCTCCTTAATACCCAAAACATCAAGTAACCACACCCTAAACCACACCCTAATCCTGTTGTTTAGGCAAGACATCCAGTAGCCACCCCTTAGGTCAAACATCCTGTTGTTTAACCTTGAAGGAACAGGAATGGGTTTGAACTCTCTGACCTCAAGATGGAAGGGAACTACTTCTATGGGTCTCCATAGGCCACCTGATGTGGGTACCAGGAAATCTCATCGGTACTCATCCTCTGGAAGAGAACCCAGTACTCTTTCCAGGCCCTCCCTGCTCCCCCCACCCCCCAGAGTTCTGGGGATCATACCAAACTCCAGGCTTCAGGCTTGGCTGGCATTCACCTATCAACTCTCTCCTCAGCACAAACATTCTAAAGTTGTCTGCGTTTTGAGGCAGGGTCTTGCTGTGTAGACCTGGCTAGCTTGAAGCTCCAAATGTAAACCACGCTGGGTGAAACTTGCTGCCATCCTCCTGCCTCTGCCACCTGCATTCTGCCTGGAATTGTAGGTGACCATTGCTGTGCCTAGTTCTCCACTTAATTTGTTTGTTTGTTTTTTTAAAGATTTTATTTATTTATTATGTATACAACATTCTGCTTCCATGTATTTCTGCACACCAGAAGAGGGCACCAGATCTCATAACGGATGGTTGTGAGCCACCATGTGGTTGCTGGGAATTGAACTCAGGACATCTGGAAGAGCAGTCGGTGCCCTTAACCTCTGAGCCATCTCTCCAGTCCCTTAATTTGTTTTTTGAGACAAGAGTTTGTCTGTGTTGTCCTGGCTGTCCTGGAACTCCCTGTGTAGACCAGGCCGGCCTCAAACTCAAACCGGTAGACAGAGGGATCTACCTGCCTCTGTCTCACAAGTGCTGGGACTAAAGGCGTGCACCACCACTGCCCTACAAGCTCTCTGCTTCTTAAAATCAGATCTAATCTGATACAATTTACATGTACTAGAACATACTTGGTTTATTGGCAGTGGTATGGCCCAAACCAGGGCCTCTTGAACTGGATTGGTTCTCTGCCACTGAGCCACAACCTCACTCCCTTGAAATTCACCGACTTAAATTGTATTTGTGTCCTGCTGCCGCTGAACCCCAGTCTTGACACACTAGGCAGGACCTCTGCCACTGAGCCACACTTCCCATGTCCCAAAAATGGATATACAGTACATTCTAAGCACTACAGGTATTGGACATGGTGATGTAGGCTGCAATCACAGAACTCAGGAGGTAGAAGCAAGAGGACACACAGGTTCATGGCCATCAAAAGCTACTCAGCAAGATACTGCTTTAAAAAAGTAAATAAGGGGCTGGAGAGATGGCTCAGAGGTTAAGAGCACCGGCTGCTCTTCCAGAGGTCCTGAGTTCAATTCCCAGCAACTACATGGTGGCTCACAACCATTCGTTATGAGATCTGGTGCCCTCTTCTGGTGTGCAGATATACATGGAAGCAGAATGTTGTATACATAATAAATAAAATCTTAAAAATAAATAAATAAATAAATAAGCAACAAAGACGCCAGACATAGCTATAAGTCTAGTCCTTGGGCTGAGGAAGGGAGATCTCTATGGATAAAGCCAGTCTGGGCTTCGAAGTGAGGTCTTGTCTTTCTGGTGCAGTTCTGTAGTCCATCATTTGGGAGGGAGAAGGAGGAGGATCAATTCCAAGCTGCATGAGATTCTGTCTCAAAATGAGCTGGTTAAATGGCTCAGTGGGGAAAGGCTCTTGCTACAAGCCTGAGGAGCTGAGTTTAATCTTCAGGACCCACATGTTAGAATAAAAGAACCAACACCCACAAGTTATCTTCTGACCACCAAGTGCACAAGCGCATACATACACATATGTAAGTCAGTAGTTACAATCAAAATGAGATGGCTCAGTGGTTAAGAGTGCTTGCTGCCATTGCAGAGGACCTGCGTTCGCTTCCCAGCACCCACATTGTGGCTCACAACCATCTGTCATGCCACTTCCAGGAGTCCAGTTCCCAAGATTTATTTTTATTTGTGTGTGTGTGTGTGTGTGTGTGTGTGTGTGTGTGAATGTATGCCATATGTGATATGCGCACAAAACCCTGTCATATTCAGAAGGAGACCTGAGTCCTACAGCGGCCTGAAAGGACTCTTGTAACCCCCTGTCCCAATCTTTCTGGTGTCTCTTCAACTTCGTCTTCTCTGGACTACTGCAGGGCTGGCTTCCTGGCTGTCTCTCAACATGTCCCTGCCTTCCAAGACCTTCCTGCTCTATTTAACACTGTACCAAGCCTGGTATAGTGATGCTTATAATGCTAACACTTGGGAGACTGAGGTAGGAGAATTCCAAGTGTTAGGCCAGCCTGGGCTATAGTGTGACGCCCTCTTTCTCTAAGGTTTTTGTTTGTTTGAGATGGAGGTCTCACATAGCCAAGGCTAGCTTTGGATTCACTTTGTAGCTGAAGATGACTTTGGATTTCTTCCGATCCACCTGCCTCCACCTTCCCAGTGCTAGAATTACAGACATATCCTATCATGCTTGGTTTTATGCAGTGCTGGGTGTTGAACCCAGGACTTCTGTATGCTAGGCAAGCAGTGTACCAACTGAACTACATCCTCTGCCCATGAAAACAAGTTGAACTATACGGAATTCCTGCACCCTCATTTTCTGTAACCTCCATTGTTCATGGATCTACAGCTATTCCTGTCCTTTCTTTTCCTGTGGAAGGAGAGGATCTTGGGAGATTGTGTGACTATGTCAGCAACCCCAGACTGCCTGGCAGGGACTAGATTCTCAATAAGTGTTTAGAGAGGACTGGGGAGATGGAATTCCCAGTCTCTATCTTCATGCCCTGGGCAGCCTAGAGGTGAACATGTGGCCCAAGCCGTGCAGTTTTTTTCTACTTT